AAAAACTAAGTACATTTATTTATTTATTATTATTATTAATTATTGTTATTTTCATTAAGCAATTAATTTATTTAAAGCGACCTAAAGTTAAAAGTGCAATTATGGAACACATTCCCAGTAAGGAATTTTTTCATTGCTTCTTTATTCGTTTGTTGGTTTTGACCTTTGATTTCTTTATCGATTTGATCTTTTTTTTGTTGGGTTTCACTTTTCAAATTCGTTTGATTTTCATTTCGCACATTTTGATCAAGGTTATTTAGAGTATTTTGTGAAGATTCAGTTAAGTCAATAGCTGAAAATTCTTTAACAGTATCTTTTCGCACATTTTGATCAAGTTCATTTAGTACGTTTCGTGGAGATTCAATTGCTGAAAATTTCTCACCAGGATTAAATGATGTATAATTGCTTGCCAATGTAAAATCTCTAAATATTTTTTTAACATAATCAGTCATTTCACTATTTTCAACTTGATCTGCCATTTCACTATTTTTAACTTGATCAGCCGTTTCACTATTTTCATAGTCCTGTAATTCAGGTGGTGCAGACTTCAAAACTAACATTAGAGCATTAAAAAATCTATTCAACCGCTATTGTTGCATAACTGACTTGGGGCATTCGTAAGATGCTAAACCCTGCTGGGTTTTATGATGTGTGATGCACATCACAACCGAGTAAGAATATCCTAATCCTTTTAATACCTGAACAGAGGTCTTTCAACCTGAATGATTAGAAATGATCCTATCACCGATTGTAATATTTGTAGTTTCACAAATATGTCAGAAGTAACCTTTTAATGTATATTCAGGCAATGCACGTGTGTAAAACAATTTTGTACTAAATTCCACTAAAATAAAAATTTTTTATTAAAGAGTTTAAAGTATACATTTTGACCAAATTACAATTAAAATTCTACAAGAACTAAATTAGATAAGAAAATTCAAAAAATTTTTAAAGCAAGAAGCTACTTACTAGCATTTAAAGTACATGGTTTTAAATAAAAATTTGTAACAGCAGGTGCTAGACATTTTGTGAAATACAATTTGTAATTTTTAATAATAGTTTTGATGTTAGGCAAGCTTATTGTTTCAGCTTGTCCATCACCATCATTCAAACCCCTCTGATTTGTTT